TCCTCACAGAAGAACAAGCAGGTTTTAGACCAGTGTTTCTCAACCTTGACAATTTTAAGGCATGTGGACTTCAACTCCCAGAATTCCACAGCCAGCTATGCTGGCTGTGGAATTCTGGGAGTTGAAGTCCACATGCCTTAAAATTGTCAAGGTTGAGAAACACTGTTTTAGACAAAGCCGATCTACTATTGATAACTGCTTTGTCTTGAACCGTCTAATTGCCAAATATGCCTATAAGAGGAGACCCCTGTTTGCTGCTTTCATAGACCTTACAGCAGCATTTGATATGGTAAACAGAGAAGTACTATGGAATAAATTGACCTCTCTTAAAATAGAACCCAGACTCCTGGCTTTGATTAAAGCCCTTTACACAAGTACCTGTTTGAGGGTGCGGTATGGGGTTAATGGGGCTCTGACTAACAGGATTCACACAAATAAAGGGATAAGGCCAGGGTGTATCCTGGCCCCATTGTTATTTAGTTTATATAACAATGACTTGCCAGGGTTAATGAAGGATCCCATGTTACATATGCCGATGATCCTAAATACTTACCGTAACAGCTCGCTTTACGCCGATGATATGATTTTATTATCATATTCACAAGTAGGATTACGTAGGCTATTAAGAAGATTCAGCTCTTACTGTCAGGATAACTCCCTAATCATTAGTAAAACTAAATCAAAAATAATGGTGTTTGGAAGACACCATCAGAGACATAAGTGGCAACTAGATGGTGAACCAACTGAACAGGTTAACACCTTCGTATATTTGGGCATAACTTTTTCCAAGACTGGATCTTGGGCTTGCCATCATCAACGAAGTACATTTAGAGCAAAAGCCCGCCTGAATCTATTCCTTAAACTAAAGAACCACAGTTACTCAGAGTCCTTAGCCCCATTAATTAAGGTATATAAAGCTAAGGTTACCACTATGCTCTCGTATCAAGCAGAAGTTTGGGGTCTCTACTCAACCACAGTCTTAGAACAAACACAGTCCCAGCATTTGAGATGTATTCTGGGTGTAGATCCAAGAACATCTGCTGCAGCAGTTAGAGCTGAATTGGGAATCCATACAATTCATGCTCTATCCAAAATTAGAGTTTATAACTACTGGTGCAAAGTCAATGAAATGGAGACTGATAGACTCCCCAAGTTATGTCTACTAGAGCAAATAAAATTACAACCACAAATCTCCTGGATCACCAAACTAACAAATTTTGTAAGAAGCTGTGGTCTTCCTGTCTCTTGTGTAACAGGAGAACAATTCAAAAAAAGGGCTGCCCAAAGAATTAAGGATATAGAAGCACAAAATGATATAGTGATCCTTAGTAAGGTGGGTAACTTGAAATGGCTGAGTAAATACAAGCGTACTTTTCAAGTAGACAGCTATTTGAAGTTACAACTGCCAAAACACCTTAGGGAGATATTTATGCGAGCGAGATTCGAACAGCTTGACACAGTGGTCAGATATGGGAGATTCCATTCTATACCTTACAATGAGCGTCTCTGCATTTGCGGAGCGGCAGAGGTAGAAGACCTGGCTCACATACTATTTGATTGTTGCCTGTACAAGAGGGTGAGAGACAGGTACCTCGGTCCAATATACCAAATGAATGACTCATTGGGATCCCCATATCAAAACAACTTACCTTATGTGCGGCCAGAACTTGAAAACAACATTTAATGCAGCACAGTATTTAAACAAAATGGTTCGGTTGAGATCTGCATATGTGGGACTGATAGGGGTAGATTGCAAGGGTGACTCCAAGATATAATTTTATCATATTTTATCTATATTTTCCAAGGCTCCTGAGGGCAGGACAAGAAGCAACGGATGGAAACTAATCAAGAAGAGAAGCAACCTAGAACTAAGGAGAAACTTCCT